AAACCTTCCTACTGAAATCAGCTTAAGTTTGCACAGTTGAAAGTCATCTCATCTAACCTGGGATTGTACAGCACAGACATGTACATCAGTTGTGGTCATAAGAGTCCCTCTTTACAGGAAGGAGGCTTTACAGTAAATATTTTTATGAGACAACTTTTTGTACCTGTTTTGAACCTCTACTTTCTGAGAAGAGGAGAGCTACTGTTTCCTTCCCTTGATGCTAAGGGACGTTTAGCCATGTAGCTCAGATATAACAACCAACAGTTTATGTAAGGTCAACCCTGAGGTGGACAACCTTCCACAGAAGGAGGACTGACCAGTTGGTACTACTGCTGTAGCACCACACATCTTGTTGGCCAACCAAGATGTTAGAAAGCCATCTTCAAAAGCATTACCACTATACTTTCTAGTATCACTGTCTCTCTTTGACATTTAGGATCTTCCTGACAAGACAGTTGAAGGCTTCTTGTTTCCTTGTTTGTTGGGTTAGTTGTTAGGGTTTGGTTTTGCTATTTTTCCCAAGCTGCTTCTGGGATTTCAAGCAGCAAGTCATTGTGCTTAGCTATTTATAGTTATGGAGGTAGAAGATCATTTCATACTGGAACACAACTTCAGATGGAGGCAATCGAGAAGTCATTGAACTTAGCAGCTGTGCAGCTGTGTCACCAAACCCCTCGTGCCGCCCAATTATTTTCCTTGGCGACTCCTTCCTCTAAGAACTTGTTTTTTCCTGACTGTGTCTCAGTTGGCTGTTTGTGAAGCCCTGGCCAGTGTTTGTTGAAGAAAGAAAGAGCAAGCAGTTGCTTCTGTTACTCTCCAGAGACCATTATTGGGAAAAGGCTGTTTAATATTGACATATTCTCACAGTCTCTGGGGGAACTTTTTGACAGAAAAGGAGGGGAAGAGGAAGGGAGGATGTGGGGAGACCTGCTCTGTCTGACCTTTCTTCCTGGAGCATAAAAATCAAAAGAGAAAAAACAAATATATTTTTCCTCTTTTTTTGTTTGTGACTGTGTAGCCTGACACTCCATTCCTGTATCCATGCTTCATGCTCCTCAAACTTTAGTTAACTGATAGTGAATATACCATTCAACAGTTTTTTTAGTAGTAAAATGCAATATAACATCGCCTTGCAAATTTGCCAAAAGATAGACAATTGGACCTGCCAGCAAGGTCTTCTAATCAACTCTGCCTTCACTGCTGGTGGTTCTTCCTGCCTCAGTTTACAGCCCATGGCATGACCTGGAAAGTTCTTCTACAGCACAGCCTGAGCAAGCTGTGTCTGCTGACACAAGCACTGTGAAGGTCTGCATAAAAGACCAAATCTACTATTTGCAGAATACGAAAGTTGCAAAAATAATTTGCTACTGTTGGAAGAGGGATAGGGACAAACATAGACCTGGATGTTTCCCCAGGCACATTCAGTTTAATGAAGATTACAGAAACCCAAGTAAATAAGGGGAATAAATTAAAATAAACATACTACACCCCTTTCACTTCCCTTTTTGAGTCTTCCTCCTGCTTCAAAGCAATTCTCAGACTCCCGTGTGTGGGTACAGAAAGCACACCCTCACTATCCATACACATCCCCTCTGGGGTAAGCTCTTAACCTTGCATGTCTTTGAACAGCATCTTCTGGCTGGTGGTGCCTGAGCGGCGGCGGCATCACCTCCTATATCCTGCCGTGTCTTGCAGTTAAATAAACTTTTCCTCAACCCACTGCCCTAGTATTATGCTATGGATTTGAAACGTTCAGCAAAACACTCCAGACTTCAGAGCCTGGGAAGAAAAAAAAGAAAAGAATTCCTCTTTTTTTCTGGGTTTCTGCTAAATCAACAAACCCTCAAGCAAGAAACAAGCAGTCAAAACAAAATTAAAAAAGCGTGAGCTTGCTGTCTGAGATGTAAGGTGGCACAGGATAGCTCGTGCGAAAGAGGTTATGCAGAATCCTGCTGTGCACAGATTTTTTGTGCACCCACTGAAGCTCCTCAGTAACCCAGATTTCTGCTGCCTTTTCAAGCCTTTTCAGACACCCCCCCCGCAGGCCAAAACCCCTGGAGACGCAGCAGGTACGACTGCTGGACTAGGAGTGCTGCGTCCAGCACAGCAGCCACAGCCTGCCAGTCGCCAGCTGGCTTTGCCAGCCTTGTACACACAGGCCAGCCCCAAGACTCATGCACCTCTTCTGTCATGTCCACTTCCTGAGAGAACTACAGGATCCCTGTCAAGAGAAGGAATTATCTTTATATTCCTTGTTTGCATATAGAAAGTGTCTCTCTTTCTAGTAACCTATTTTTGAACTGGTATCAGGGGTACAAGTGTGATGGAGCACTTGTGGAGTGGGGGAGCGAATAGCCACAAATAATCAGCTGTAGGAGCTACCGTGTGGTGCTCAGGGAGGGTGATAACGTGTGTGCCACACTGGCTGCTATCTGGAGGCTGTTTCTCCATTAACCCTTCCTCTTGTGGAGAGTTGGTTTTTTGGGATGTTACCCATCCCTCCTATCCCAAACTGCTCTGAGGGTACAAAGATAAATATAAGAGGCCATTCCTGTAGAAACGGGTCTTCTAGTGCCTGGTTCATGCAGCTACACAGCAATTTGGCCCATTGCAAAGCCTAATTAATTGTATATAAGAAACTAATGGACACATCTTCATTTCTTTAAAAAAATTATCTCCTAAGAATATAATGTTTTTTGTTATTCTATGCTGTTCCCCTTTCTTGTTTTCTGCTTCACCTGTACCTTGTCCTTCCCAACAGACCCATCTCTGTTTATGAATGGTATTGTATCATGCATGGTGGTACTTCATTTCTGTTTTCTGCTCAACATTGAGCCTGGAAAGCTGTCTTTAGCATGCTGAGCCCCACAGCCCACAGGGACAGGCAGGACAGGGGAGAGCTAACCCTGCAGGGGTTAGGTGGGTGGCAGAGCTGTGCAGCTCCCAGCACAGACCTTGCTGAGCTGCAGTATAGAAGCTCCCCGAAATGCTCACGTCGTTTGTATTGTTACTGAGCTCTTCCTTTCCTTATTTTGCTGATTAGGTCTTGCTGAAATAATGAAGAGGCTTTAAAAATCTTTGTGCTAATAAGAGTGGTAAGAGTAACGAATATCAAAAACATTCATCATGTTGACCTTGAGTTGGAAAAGCTGCAGCTGCCGGTCCAGTTTCTTTGAGAGATCAGGATCACACTTTTGTTACTTTTCTGCCTGAGAGACACAGCCAGTAACTGTTCATAACAGAGGAGTTAACAGAACGTTTTCTTCTAGGCACTAACTGCCCTTTTCTTTTGTCTTAGCCAAGAAACAAAGACATCAAGGTTGTGTTAGAGACTTGACATTAACTTCTGGCATCAGTAGATGCTTACTTGATCTTAAGACCAAGAATTAGCCTTTGCAGCTCTGGCTGATGTCAGGGGGATGAGTGGCAATTAATAAAGTCTACTCATATCTCAGCAGCTAAGGGTCACACCGCAGCTGAAATGACACAGATCCTCCTGCAGCCAAAGGAACTGACAATGCTTTCTTCCAAAAAGAACCTCACCTGACCTTTATTCCCTCAGTGAAATCTGCAATGCAATGGCACTTCAAGACTCTAAGATGTGTGAGCTCCATAAGATTTTCAGATAAAGCTTAGAAAAATGGAACTGTTGGTGGAACGCAACAGTTTTTGATGAGTGAGGAAAGAGCCTTTTGCCCCTCCAGACAGTGGCACAGTTAAAAGGCCACGGCACTCACCTAATGCCAACAACAATGTATTGTTTTAGTTTTAATGATTTCAGACTCTGTTCAGCATTACCATAAGGGTTGTTATGCAATTTATTTCAAAACCATTACAGCATTATCTAGAAGCCAGACAGCAGATCCACAGAGTGGGTCTTCTTACCAAACAATTTGTCAAAAATCTGAAAGATTAATCAATAGACACAGAGACACAATAGACACAGAGATAGCCCTCACAAGATCTAAAATCGTTGTCCTAACGTGGTACACTTGTAGGGATAGGTTTAACTTTAGCCATGGCAGCACCTTCTGCATGCCATGGTTATCATAAGTTCAGAAGATGCTTTTGGTTTTTTCCAAGCTCAGATGCTAAGGTTTTATCTTAATGAAAAGCAGTTGATCCCTCTAAATACGAAATGCTCAACAGATACAACTACATATCTTTCACAGGAGGGGTGAAAGCAGCTCTTCCTTTAGCAACAGCATGAGTATCCTGTCATTACCAGAAGACATGGGCAGTAATGTGATGGAAATAAATGGTATTCATTTTGAAGATGAATACACCACATCCACCTCTCGTCTGTAGAGCTGAAGTCACAGCAGGTAATGAAGAGATTGCTCATTTCAGCACACCTGGCGTTGTACAAGGCTTGTCACAAACAGGTCAGCTGGCATACCCAGCAAGTCTAGGCATGATAGCAACCTCAAGGGAAGGCTCCATCTGCCCCAAAGGTATAGTCTGATGACAAAAAGTGTTCAGCAAAGGCACAAGAACAAAGTCTAAAAAGCATAGCTTGCTCTAGAAAATGCTCCAGATAGACATACACCTCAGCCTCTTTGGGAAGAAATAAGATAGCTGTGTGGTTTAAGGTACCTAGGAGATCTGGATTTAGCTCTTATCAATTTCAGTCCTGGGTTTATTCCACAAAAATCTCACATTCTCTAGCTGTACAATAGGGTTAATAGTGCTTCCTTTCTGCTTCTTGTGACGTACAGGCAGAACTGAGGACAACAGGATCCCAGCTAGAGACTCTCTAAATTACACCAAAACACAATTCATAAATACAAAAAAAAAACCCCAGTGTAAATAAATTACATGTGTGCAAAGCATTTCTAAACATAGTCTAAATAAGGGCGGAAGAATTATACCATAGGGCTGTGAAGGGTTTTTGTAACAACAGGAGCCAATTTTCTGTGAGAAAATTTTCTCCTAGGAGTCTATTCTGTCCAGTCTGACAGAAAAGGGAGGGAAGACATAACTGCTTTAAAAGAGGTTTACACCAACTCATTATTTGTGTAAACTTTAATCTCCTTACAGTAGAAACATACACAATACAAGCCAAAAGTAGTATAACAATTTTACAGTAAAGCTTACCAGTAATATGCAAAACTAATTTGTATCAAATTCTTTAGAAATTGTGCACTTTCTCAAACTTAACTTTGTTCAGCACATCGTTGTGATTTATATATAATAAGACATTAATTCTATAAGAATCATTTACTATATTCCAAAATTGCATGACCTAGGTGTAACACTCTGTAGCCTGACACCATTTTTGCTCCTTTCAATATTTACAGATTTAATCTACCTGCATTGACATGTAGCATAGAAGCACTAAGAACAAATACAAGCTTTGCCAAGACTATTTCCACATGGAAGAAGTTACATAAAGAAAAGCTCAACTGTACATTGCAATAGCTTGGTTCTGCTGCAGCCATGACTGGAGTTTAAGAATAATTTCCCCTTTTGGCACGCTTCCTCACTTCCAGCAGTATTTTGGTCTTTCAAACTGCAGAACTGAATTTGCTCTGAACCTGCAGGAACTGGAAGTGGACCTCATTTTTATCAGCTATCCAAAATTTGTTTTGCTCCTCCCCCTCCCCAGAACACAGTTCTTAAATTTCTTTGGAAGTTACATGTTCTATAAATGGCATAACTGAATTAATTCTAGCTGCTATGTACAGAAATGGCTCAGGCAATTAAGTTAGTCCACCTTGTCATTAGTCAACAGGAAGTATAATTACTGTAGCTGTAAAGGAGGTATCTAGTGTTCCAGAATAAGTGAGTTTAATTATGGTGAGAGCTTCCTCAATTCTATTTACATGACAATTTCAGGCTCAATGTTAAATAGTAAGTCATCATTTCCTCTTCGAACTTCAAGTAGTAGAGGCGATTCATTCATCACAGCCTCCTGCAGGTCACTGGAAGTCATCAAAGGACGTCCATTGACTTTAACAATGATATCTCCATCTTGGATCCCTCCTCTGCAAAGACAAGAAGAAAAAGGCAGTAAGCATGCATTCTTTTTTTGCTTTCTAATTTTTACATATTTTCATTTTTAGAAGTGTCCTATTTACTTTCCAACTGTTCTGTAAAATAGTCACTACCTCTCAGAAGAAGTATTGTCTCACATAATAGCTCTGACAGTGTCTTAAGTGAATGCTATCCTCTCTCCTCTTTAAGCTAAATCTAAGTTTCTATTTATTAATCAACATACTTTTGAAACAAATCAAATTTGGTCCTTTGTATTTGGTGTGTTCTTTAAATTTGCACACCGTTAGTGTTTCATAATGTCATTTTAAAATTTCTGATACTGGACTATTCCACTTGTGTAAATGTGAGTAGAACCTTAGCACAAATACCTTTTTTTTTAACCTAAATGCACTATTTTCAATTGTTTAAATACAAATCAATACTGGTATGAGGAAATACTTGAATATAAATACTACATACTAGTATCTATTTGGAGATTTAGTTATGGTGAATAAAATAATATGCTCCACATACCTATGGGAAGGTGAGTTTGGAACAACTTCATGCACATAAATTCCACTTCTGACATCAGGAAAATCAGCATTACTGTGTTTCAGTTCTTCCACCAAGCTAAAAGAAGCACAAAAATATATAGAACTCGATTCCTACAAAAGTATTAGCATTCAAAAATTATTACTTATTTATTCTCATTTTTTTTGAGAATGACTTAACAGTTAACTGTTTGCCCATTGTTCTTGTGATGAGAATGCAGAGGATTTGAATTTGGATTAAACCAAATAACACAGATTTTAAGAGAGTAAAAGCTATTTACCTGTGCAAAGCATGCTACATTTAATGGTCTCACACATCCCCTGCAAGAACCTGACTGTTGCTATTTGTAGCAGCAGCACAGAGGCCACTGTCGAAGAGCACAGGAACAGCAGCACTCTCTGTCCTAGGTGCTGTCAGGCACGAGAGACACTCCTGACCCAAAGCATTAATGCTGGTGATGGGGCAGGAACTTGCTAATGCTTTAGCTTCTTTCTTTTTGCAAGTCATTCTTAACTTGTCTTTATCTAGAACAATGTAATTATATTGTTATATATAACTTCAGTCATCAGATAGATCAGAACTGTGAGAGTTCTCCATGGAAACCTCCACTTCCTTAAGTTTTCTTGAGGAAGTTTGTGCATCCCTTTCTCAAGAAATGGAAACAGATACAAAACAGGGACTCTAAAAACATCCACTCATTTCTGAGGAAATGACATTATTTCAGGTCTGTGTACAGTGTGGGTTAAAACCCATTTCAAGAAAGAACAGGTTTTAAACTCATGACGGATTACTATGCTGTCTGCCATGAAAACCTGGGGTCCTTCAGATGGCAAGGAAGTCAAAACGGCTGCACACAGCTTCACTTCATTTGATTTTGTACTGAGGAAGCTAACAAATAAATGAGTATAGCAAACACAGCAAAGAAGTAGTCTTTTCCTGAAAACAGGCCTGGAGACAGACTGCTTCATCAGACACCACAAAGCAGTAAAATCTGACATCATGTTCATTCACAATTAGGCAGAGAAACATCCTGAGTCTCTGTCTACTGGTGGTGGCCTGGTGATGTTAATGCCATTGCAGTGATCCATTCCAGCTGAGGCTCTGACCCTTTAGGGAGGATTGCACGAGTGTAACTCAATAAACAAAGATGGCTTCAGTACACCCCAGCTGGAAATTGTCTTGTTTAATTTTGTAGTCTACCACCACATTGGAAACGTGCCTACTCCTGGGAAAGAACCCAAGTGTAAGAGCCCTCATTTGTCATCCCAGAATATATCCGGGTAATGGCAGACACCAAGCAATGCAAGAGAGAAAAGACAGTAAAGAACTGGAGCAGGGTGTCCATATTCTGGCTTTGTTAACATGGAGGCATGAAACCTTAGTTCTTCACTTTAGCAACTACTTTCTTTCCAGTTAATGGTTAGGGACCAAATCTCACATCACACGGCCTCCACTGGCACTGACAGAACTACTGCCAAACTCCCAGGCAGCTCATCTGTCAGTGGCACGGTCACCTGAAAGCAGGAGCTTGTTTAAATGCCACCTAAAACCTGGTGTAACTCCAGACATCTTGTCAAGAGCTAAAGCCTGTGTTGAGGCTCTTCCTAATTTCTCTCAGCTATCAAAAGGGCATCCACTATTTATCAGTATTTAGAGAATGACTGACAGTGATTTTCCAGGTCTCAGAGCATAGATTTCACCAGTATCATTAAAATGTTTGCAGACTTCATAGAATCTAATGCACACTTGTGGGTCCTCTGGAGATTTGCAATGAATGCTGAGTGATGAAGATCTGAACCAGCACTGATGACAGTTTGCATGTGTGATGGTAGAGATCACCCTGCTAAGGCACTTACGCAGGTGTTATTGTCAGCATCCTGATGCCAATGAAACGTTTCTTCCCATCTGAAAATAACACAGAGGATATTTAAGAAATTTAGGCAAACACTGACAAAAATAAGTACTCTGATGACCCAAAATACCTGTCAATTAAAACAGGAGGTATCAACTTTCAACAAAACTAAACAGAACTCATATGCATCTACACTGAGGTGATTTTTCATTTTGGTTAGCCCTGGTGTGCAGAATGACAATCCCTCTCCCTGCTGGTGAGGCTAAGACAGAAGCTCATTTACACTCCACGAGAGTTTTCCTTCAGGAAATTCAGGAAAATTTCTGTGATCTAGTATCACATGACCTCTCACTAAATCGCAAATTTTGTAATCAACTACCATTTCATCTGGAACTGGTCAAGACAATTTAAACATACGGTGCCTTGGTTAAAATGTAGAAATGGGATTTAAAGAAATTAAAACTTCCACCTTTCAGAGAAAGGACAACCAAAAGAGTCATTCTGATTCCAATGCAAATGGCTTGTAATTTCTAGCTCAAAGAATGAAAAGCGAGTTTTTTAAAAAGATATAGACCTTAGCCAAAATGATCACAAAAGTCATCAGAGGGCTGGAACCTCTGCTGTGAATAAAGGCTGGAAGAGTTGGGGTTGTTCAGTCTGGAGAAGAGAAGGCTCCAGGGAGACCTTATTGTGGCCTTTCAGTACTTAAAGGGGGCCTATAAGAAAGATGGGGTCAGATGGTTTTTTTAGCAGATCCTGTTGTAACAGGACAAGGGGTAATATATTTAACATAAACGAGGGTAGTTTTAGACTAGATAGAAGGAATAAATATTTTACTATGAGGGTGATAAAACACAGAAACATGTTGCCCAGGAAGGTGGTAGATGCCCTGTCCCTGGAAACATTCAAGGTCTGTCTGGACAGGGCTCTGAGCAACCTGATCTAGTTAAAGATGCCCCTGCTCACTGCAGAGGGGTCAGACTAGATGATCTTTAAGGGTCACTTCCAACCCAAATTCTATGATCCTATAGTCAGCCAGGACTCTACAGAATTTTAAATGGTGAAAATTCACTCCTTTAGGAACAGCACCACATTTCTGTATCTGGCTTTTAGTAGTCATGATATTGCACAGCTGTCTTATGAAGAAAAGGCAGTTTGATGATTTCCTTGAAGTGTTTCAGTAGTTAGTTATATCCGGTATTCCAGCATATCTACTTCACTATGTCTTTGAGCTTCCCGTGTTCTCATGCAAGAGTTTGAAAAGGAGATGTACACAGTCTCCTCTAACTGTTATTCTTTCCAAGAAAAATAGTCCCAGCTAAAGGAATTAGTCCTGAATCTTATGCATGTCCAATATTTCCATTAGTGTAAGTGAAAATGTTGATTACTAAACGTTTGATTTACTACACTCTGAACAGTCTTACATCTGTGTCACCCCTGCATTTCCCTGACATGTTCTGGCTTGCCTCTGTTTTAGAGTAAAAGTAACAAGATCAGCATCAGCTATAGTAAGAGTGTCATGAAGAAGTCCAGTTACTCAAAACTGAAGCCCCAAAAGCTTCAGGCATGGCCATGAATTAGTGTGCTCATGGTGCTTCTCTCATCCACATAGCATAAATGTAAACTTTCACTTTTTAAAGATATCCATACGTGGTAATTCTCCCACCTGAAACTCATCTCCCTGTCCCTGCAATGTGGACAGATAAATGATGGAGGTGTCTTCATGAGACACACAGATTGCAGACTGGCAACAGTTTACTGTTTGCATTATGCAGTTTGCTGCTGGTCATCAACTGTGTGATGCAGAATTACACAGAAGCACAAAACATACTCAGGGGGCTGGGTTAGGAATATTTATATGAAAGAAAAATTGAAAATGAAAGAAGGGACAAAAGAAACTGATCTGGAAGAAAGAAAACAGCAAGGAGGAGATAGGGCAAGAATGAAAAACCACAGCAGAAATGCTGCTGATCTAAAAGGGAATTATTTCCCCACAGCCATTCATGATACATGCAAAAATAAGGCTTTGGAGAAAAAATAAAGTCTGGTAACCACATACTTATTCAAAACTAAAACACTCATTCTACCCTAATCTTGGGGCAAGTTAGGCTATTATTTCACTCCTGTTCATGCATTAAAGCTCAAAGTGGCCTTCTGCCCTGTCTGCACAATATGTTTGTGATGCTGCAAATATAAAAATGATATAAAAACTACAACAGTAGCAGACTATTGTATAAAGTAAAACTAACAGCTATGAGCTATGGATTATTTTAGCAGCAGAGTCTAGACTCCTCTTTCCACCCTCCATCCATCTCATGTCAGAATACAGGTGAAATAAACTTCGGGCCTCTTGTTTTGCAGAAGCCCACTCCATTCAATTTAGCACAAGTCAAAAATCTTGCACAAAACCCCAAAGTTTTCATCAACAATGACTAGAGGGAATATAACTGTCCTGTGTATTAGAAGTATCAGCAGAGACTGAACAGGCACAGACAACCAGTTGTAGTGTTTTATCATCCCCAAAGGACAGGCACTTTGATGTCAGGGTTAAGTCACATCAGTAGAACAGTATGTGGCACCTGGAATTACCACTGTCATATTACATCTGCTCTGTGAATAAAAAACTTCAAAACCTGTCATTCTGGCAATTTGTGTAACCATGCAGCAGAAGAAAAAATAATTAGGAGAACTGGAATAAAGTGAGGTTGCAAATCTAAGAAGCCTGTCACCAGAGTGAAGTCCCAGCAGTAGTTAAAAGAAGGTTACTATGTTGGAACAATCAAACCACTGCAGCTTAAAGCTGGAGCAGAGCACAGCAGAGAGAGATACTCAAATCCCATTTCCTTTTTGTAAAAACCAGGCCAGACTGAACATTGATTCTAGTGGTACAAAGTCAGGCAAACCAGCTTCAAAACACTAAACTTCAATCTGTTTTGTGTTAATAGAAAGTCCCAAGCAGCTGACCCCAAGTATCTAGAAGCAGCTCACTCTTTACAGAGATTTCTGTTCCATAGTAAGGAAAGCATTTGCTCTGCTGATAAAGTTTTCTTTTTTCATTTGTGCTTGTAACAGTAGAGATACAAACCAGACAGATAAACACTGGCTGAAGGCAGAAGTGTTTATGACCTATAAACAGAAAACATGAAAACATCTTGCATCTATAATGCCAAATTACATGCACTGTACCTTCCATATACACTGTAGAGCTGAATTTAATCTCTAGCCTGAACCTAAACTCAGAAAGCCTCCTAAGCAGCCCTCACAACTATTGGTAATAATTATCAATAATAAACATACAAACACATAGGTAAGCATATTGTTTCAACAAAACTAATAGTGTTCTGTGGATTTAAATAAGGATTCAGATAAATTAATCGTGTGTGGCCAATGCAAAACTTTCTCATTTGTCTTTGCCCAACTGAAACAAAGTTTATTCAAAGCCTAAAATTTTAAACAAGGCTAACAGTAAGGGAGAGGCCAGGCTGACCTCTTAGGCTTCATTTTCTCTTTAATATTTTATCAGATTGCTAACTTACTGTCTTCTATTGTAGAGGATCCATGTTTGAACACTTTCTAGTTTTACTATTCTGCTCAAGTCTAAATTAGGAATAGATGGCAGAGCCAAGACCAAAACTGAGAAATTCCCATAGGATACTAACAAAAGGCACTGAAGTAAAAAAATTAGTCAGTGCTTAAGTATATAGATGCCTTTCAGAAGTAAAGACAGAACACAGATGGTTAAAACTGAGATATAAATGGAGATGCTTAAATTCATGCACCAGTTTAAGAACTCCTAACTAAAAAAAGGATGTTAACATTACTGCTGATAAATCCAACATTAGCAAAAGCTTTCAGACCATTTAACAGATAAATATCTCTATGCACAGTGTAGTAGATCTCTGATCAAAAATACATTAGGTATTATTATGTGTCACCCATGCACTAGGCAATATAGAATGCTTAAAAATTATTGGTGCTGTTTAAATAATAATAATAATAATCAGTGCTAATACTTCATTCAAATGCCATCCTCTCCCACTTCTTCCCCCTCTCTGCTCCTGTGTATTTTCAGTTATAAACAGTGGACAGGACTTCAAAATGTATGCCTTCTATATAAAACTGGCAGCTACCTCATCAACTGAGATTTAAAACACTAAAGTCAAGCTTATGAAATAATATTCTAAGTATCTCCTATATGCCAGATAGAGTGGTTTCCTAAGGGAATTTTATCATCTTCAGTCACTATGATATTTAGAGCAATATTGTAATACTCTTAAACTTATGATACAGTTAGGTCTCAGAAATAAGGGTGGAACCTACTGAAACTACTGAAGCGTAACTGGAGCAAAAGAAAACACGATAAAAACATCCAAAAAACTCTGCTTACAAAAATTACTTATGTCAAGAAATAATGCCTACACAACAAACCTGAAAACTATTACTAAAGGCCAAAAAAATGCAAATTAAGTCTCAAATATGGTGAAAATATTTCCTAGAAATTCTCCTTCTCTATGCGTCACGGGCTTTAAATGACTGTTTTGCCTGCAGCAAAAGTGCAAGAGGTACTTCAAACAAGCAAAATAAAAAAAAAAAAACAAAAAAAAACCAACCCACACGTTAAAAATCAAAAGAATATAAAAATTGTCTGAGCTCAGGGACAGCAGTGACACACCTGTGTTCCCCTGGGTTCTGTACTTTGTCCAGTCTTGTTCAATATATTCATTGATGACCTGGACGCAGGGATGGAGTGGACCCTCAGCAGATTTGCTGATGACACAAACCTTGGAGGGGTGGCTGACACAGCAGAAGGCTGTGCTGCCAGTCAGCTGCATTCAGACCTGGACAGGCTGGAGAGATAGGCAGAAGGGAACCTCATGAAGTTCAACAAGGGCAACTGTAGAGTCCTGCACCTGGGGAGGAGTAATGCCATGCACAGGTGTAAGTTAAGGGTCGACCTACTGGAAAGCAGCTCCATGGAGAAGGACCTGGGAGTGCTGGTGGACAAGATAACCACGAGCAAGCTGTGTGCTTTTGTGGCCAAGAAGGCAAATGGTACCCAGGAGTGCAGGAGAAGTTCTCCTCCTCCTCTACTCTGTCCTAGTAAGGCCACGTCAGCAGTACTGTGTCCAGTTCTGTGCTCCCCAGTTCAAGGGAGACAGGGAACTACTGGAGAGGGTCCAACAGAGGATACAAAGATGACAAGGGGAATGGAACGTCTCTGTGACAAGGAAAGGCTGAGAGACATGGGGCTGTTTAGCCTGAAGAAGAGAAGATTGAGAGGGGATCTCATCAATGCTTGTAAGGATCTAAAGGGTGGGGGTCAAGAGGATGGGGCCTGACTCTTTTCAGTGATGCCCAGTGTTAGGACAAGGGGCAAAAAATAGGCACAAAGTGGAACACAGGAAATTCCATCTGAACATGAGGAACAGAATCTGAATGTAACTTCCTCACTCTGCGGGTGACAATGCACTTGAACAGGCTACCCAGAGAGGTTGTGGTGTCTCCTTCTCTGAAGATTTTAAAAATCCACCTGGATGTGTTCCTGTGTGACCTGATCTAGGTGAACCTGCTTTAGTGGAGGGGTTGGACTAGATGATCTCCAGAGGTGCTTTCCAGCCCCTACCATTCTGTGATTCTGTGACAGTCACACTGATGCTAAGTGAGTGTGAATCCTTTCCTGTTGGTTAGGGGATAATGTGAATGATGAAAAATCAGTATGTTACAATCACAGGATAAACTTGAACCTTTCACTATGTTTTTTCTTAAGATTTCACAGGCAAAGTTATCTCTAGGCTCTCTAGCTGGGATCAGCAGGTTCATCATTCTCTGGAGACAAAGGTGCCTCAAGAAGCAAGGTAGCCAATTTCATTGGTGCCATCTCTCGCCTTCACTGAGTTACCAAGAACTAGCTCAGTTACCAAACACCCACTGACAGATGGTGGCCTTTCTGCACAAGGCTTGCAACTATTCCTCTGGAGCTATGCTTGCAGGGTGAGCAGTTGCTCCTCCCTGTTTTGAGATGAGCAGTTTGGTTCTGAAGGGTAACATCACCAATGATACAGGCCTCCTCTCTCAGAATCCAAACAACAAAAACCTGTGTGAATAAATAGGTTTTTTGACTTGTTGGCTGAAAAAAAATTGTCAGCTGCTTCAAAATGTACTTTCCAGCACATCGTTAACACTGCTTTTTAACAGCTCCATCCCCAAATCAACAAGTGTAAACAATATCATTTGGGGGATTCAGCAAAACACAGATGAAGGGACCCACCAGAACTGTGATGGTCTCAAGCAGTTGTGTAACTTCAAAACCTTGGATTAAGGGAAGTTTCTGAATAGAGAACACTGAAAGGACAATGGTGCAGGGAAACAACCCTAGCATCAGCAACAGGATGAACTCAGGAAAAGACAAGATTAATATCAAAAAGATTCAACAGAAGCAGCAGCCAACAGTCATGACACAAGATGATTAGGGTGTGGACGGATAAATTGGCAAGCAAAAGAGAAGGGAAGGTTTGGCATGGATGAAGCATTACTAGATCAGCTTTGGCTGTGCAGCACGTAGTATGACACCTCACACAGTGTGACAGATAGGAGGCAGGCACATAAAAATGTCCAGAGTACTGCAGTTATTACTATATATGCAGTTATTATGGAATATTTAGATTTATATTCTCTTTGGTGCAGAGGCCTTTCTTTTTTTCTGCCTCTGCCCCCCCTCCCCATGTATTCAGGCATTAGCACTCAGCTCTTCTTCCACTGGGGTCTCCAAGGCTACCACAATATCCAATTATGCAACACTGACACAGATGACCATGGCAAGACAAAGAGCACCTGCTGATAGCGCACACACACGCTACACTCCGTCTGTGGACAAGAGTTTTAGAAAGTTTTTACTTCATGTTCCACAGTACACCTTAATCTCCTTTTTGCTCAGACAATATGTGTAAAAAAGAGGTTAAGACTCCTTGAACAAGTCACCATCTGTTCTCAAGATTATTTGAGACTGTAATGACTCATCTGTGTCCTCACTATCCTCAGAGGCTCTTTTTCCCAGATTTACACTGATACTGTCTACTCTTCAAGGGTTTGAGTAATAAAACATCCCTCCCACTTATCTGAAGTTGTTTTCTATTTCCACGTCTGTGGTGTTCTGTACTGTAAAACGGTGCTGCTCCTTTCAGTAACAGGATCCCAGACCTGTGTCTTTTGGTAGTTCACCACCAGATCAGGATGACAACTGGAAGATGCCACTGTTTCTTGCAGACATTACCTTTACTATGCTTGTCGTGCGACTCTGTGAGAAACTGAGTGATGCGGTCAGAAGGAATAGCAAAAGAAATTCCAGCTGTCACCTTCAAGGTGTTAATGCCAATCACCTCACCATCCTGTTGAGAGACAGCAGCCAGTTAATTAGCTCCTCAGTAACCAAGTTCAGCTCATTGCCTAGCATTTCATGTTAAAAGCTGGTGTAAGAAATTTTAAGAATGTTGTAATCACTAAGAAGTAAACATTACTTGTAAGGGAGGATCTGGGCTCTGATTCACAATCCCTTCCACATTTAGCTGTGATGGCCACAGAGATTACAGTACAGTTTGTTCATCCAAGGTCCATCTCACCACTCAGCATGAGATCCCTTCTGCTGAGCAGGCAGTGGGAGTCACTACTGCCTCTACAGCCACAATTCACCAACCTGCAGAATCAGTGCAGTAATCTATTTTAAAAATCAGTTTTGCTGATTGACCAGGTCCCATCTCAGCCATGCACCTCAGGTTTCATAGTGTGAACAAGCATAACTGCTCCTGCCAGATACCATTTTCCTCACTGCTGTGTAAAATCTACTCTGCTCTATGAGGAAATGTTTTTCAATGGTGTATGAACTAAGATGTGATTTGTATAGTTTGTATTAGTTTAAGGGTGAATGACTGGAAGCTGGTGTGACCTATGAATCTTCTCAAAAAAATGTTCTTCTTATTTCAAACTAGCTCTTGAAACAAAACAAAACAAAAGCCAAGTCATTTGAACTTACCAGATTAACTAGAGGTCCTCCAGAGTTGCCGTACTGTAAAAATGACATAAGGGAAGAATAAATTGGTGCTTAACTGTAGGAAATGCAATTTTCAATTGAAACAGTATTTTGTTTGTAATTAAATAAGAGTTGGTAACGTCTTAAGCAGCACTGCAGACACAAAATTGATCATAGAATATTACAGGTAGGTCTTTTACCCTACATGTTCACAACTCTCACAATTAGGTTTTATTTCTTTTCAGAATCAAACCTTAGGATCAGTAATTTAGTACTCCAGATAGTTAGACTCTAAGTTTAAGAAGAACCTTTATGTTAAGAAATTGATGGATTATGAAGAGCTGTCCCTTAAAAATGGCCACAAGAAGGTCAAGAGCTTATGGGTAAAAATCAGGAATCAAGATAACAAAGGGAACCTTGTGGTTGGGGTCTACTACAGGCCGGCTGATGAAGGGGAACTTATTGATGAGGTCTTCTTACTCCAGCTACAAAAGACATCACACTCACAGGCTCTCGTCCTGCTGGGGGATTTCAACCAGCCTGATATATGCTGGAAAAGCTGCCCGGTGAGCTGTAGGCAATCCAGGAGACTCCTGGAGTGCCTTGATGACAACTTCCTAAGGGAGGAAATAGATGTCCCTACTCGAAGGGATGGAACACTAGACCTGATGGTCACAAATGCTAGTGAACTCATCAGGAACATCAAGATAGGAGGCAGCCTGGGCTGCAGTGATCACACATTAGCGCAGTTGATTGTCTGAAGGGGCGTGAGGGAGATGAAAAGCAAAGTCAGAACCCTAAATTTTAAGAAAGCAAACCTCCAGCTCTTCAAGCAGTTAGTAAGACTCCCAGGGAAATAGTCCTTAGAGACAAGGGAGCAGAACAGAGCTGGCAGATCTTTAAAGATGCTTATCATAGAGTGCAAGAACTCTTGATTCCCAGCTGCAGGAAACAGGGTAGGGAAGGAAGGAGACTGGCATGGCTTAGTTGAGACCTGCTGGTCAGACTAAAAGACAAGACTGCACAAGCAGTGGAAGCAGGGACAGGCATCCTGGGGAGAATACAGGGACACCGCCCGGCTGTGCAGGGACGAGGGGAGGAAGGCCAAGGCACAGCTGGAGCTGAACTTGGCGAGAGATGCAAAGGAAAACAGGAAGGGCTTCCACAGGTACATTAACCAGAAGAGGAAGGTTAAAGAAGGCATCCCCTCCCTGAAGAACAGCAATGGGGAGGTAGTAACAACGGATGAGGAGAAGGCTGAGGTCCTGAACAAGGGTTTTCTCTCAGTCGTCAGTGGCAACTCCTCTCCTCACAGCTCTCAAGTGGATGGCCCATGAGACAGGGACCAGTGAGAAAAAGTCCCTCCCACAGTCCACGAGGACAAGGTTCATGAATACTTGAGGAACCTTAACACACACAAGTCCGTGGGACCCAATGAGATGCACCCCAGAGTGCTAAAGAAATTGGCTGATGCAGTCTCCAACCCACTCTCCATAATATCTGAAAAGTCACGTCAGTCAGGCGAGGTCTCTAGTGACTGGAAGAAAGGAAATATCACCCCTAGTTTTAAAAAAGGTAGAAAGGAATACCCTTGGAACTACCACCCTGTCACCCTCACCTCTGTGCCTGGGGAGATCATGGAACAGATCCTCCTAGAAGAAATGCTGAGGCACATGGAGGACAGGAAGGTAATTCAGGAGAGTAAGCACGGCTTTACCAGGGGCAAGTCCTGCCTGACCAATCTGGTGGCTTTCTATGATGAAGCAACTGCACTGGTGGACAAGGGCAGAGCTGTGGATGTCATCTAGCTTGACTTTGCTAAGGCCTTTGACACTGTCCCCCTTAATATCCTCCTTTCCAAGTTGGTCAAAGTTGGAGACAGAGAGGTGCGAGGGGTGGACTGTGCAGTGGATAAGAAACTGGCTGGACGGCCGCACCCAGAGACTGGTGGTCAACGGCTTGACCTCTAGCTGGGCAAAAGTGACAAGTGGTGTCCCCTCACGGGTCCGTATTGGGACCGGTGTTGTTTGATATCTTCACCAATGACACAGACAGTGGCATCGAGTCACCCTCAGCATGTTTGCTGGTGATATTAAGCTGTGTGGTGCAGCTGACATGCCAGAGGGATGAGAGGCCATCCAGAGGGACCTGGACAGGCTGGAGAGGTGGGCTCAGGTGAACCTCATGAGGTTCAACAAGACCAAGTGCAGGTTCCTCCACCTGGGACAGGGCAACCAACATTACCAATAAAGGCTGGGAGAGGAAAGAAAGCAGTCCTCTGGAGAAAGACTTGGGGGTACTAGTCAATGAGAAGCTGGACATGAGCCACCAATGCGCAGCGGCAGCCCAGAAGGCCAATCACATCCTGGGCTGCATCAAAAGAAGTCTGGCCAGCAGATGGAGAGAGGTCGTCCTGCCGCTGTACTCTGCCCTGGTAAGACATCACCTGGAGTCCTGTGTCCAGCTCTGGAGCCCCCAGCACAAGAAGGATGTGGAGCTGTTGGAACATGTTCAGAGGAGAGCCACAAAAATGATCAGAGGGCTGGAGCACCTCTCCTATGAGGACAGGCTGAGGGAGTTGGGGTTGTTCAGCCTGAAGAGGAGGCTCCAGGGGGACCTTACAATGACTTTCCAGTACCTGAAAGGGGCCTACAAAAAAGCAGGGGAGGGTCTATTCACAAGGGTTTGTAGTGACAGGACGAGGGGTAATGGCTTTAAGCTAGAAAAGGGGAGATTTAGGTTAGATGTCAGGAAAAAGTTCTTCAACATGAGGGTGATAGGCCACTGGAACAGGCTGCCCAGAGAGGTGGAGGAGGCCCCATGCCTGGAGATATTCAAGGTCAAGCTTGATGAGGCTCTGAGTAGCCTGAACTATTTGGAGAAGTCTCTGCTTATAGCAGGGGGGTTGGACTAGATGACCTTTGGAGGTCACCTCCAACTCAAACATTCTATGATTCTATGATCATTACACAGTTAAAAGAAGTATTTAAATTCTTCTAAAGACTGTCTGGACAAGGTTTTTAAACTAATTAATTTGTATTTAAAGCTATATTTCAGTGAGGTGCACATACAGTTTTTAGGTGTTATTCATTGCTTTGGTTTCTAACGCTGTCAGTCTCCCATTCTCCACTGGAGAAGAACACAGTACTTTCCATGTTTAATCACAGCGTGTTACGATGAGGTAGCTACTCCATAAGGATTGATTTAGTAACCACAGACCTGCACCCCTCTCCAGGGAGACCATACAGCATCTCTGAGCAGTCTGAAATTGCCTAATACCTAATGGTCTTCAACGGAAACCTCCAACAGGACTACAGGAAATGAGAGTTGGAGAAGTTTCTTGTCCATCTTCATGTTGGCAAGTTTGTTTCTGATTAAGGCCAGAGTTTTCAAGTAGGTCTACTGAGCAGCCAAGAACAGCAATTTACCACTCAAAAGAAACAAAAGCTAAGTGATGCAAGACCACATGAGCCATATAAACTGTTTATGCTGTGATATCACTGGGCAAACCTTATTGATTCTCAGAAGAATAAAACAGACTAAATCAAAGTTTTAAAAACAGCTTCGAGTTTGTACAAAGAGATCAGTTTCTTACACTGTATCATTTCAGTGACCAGAGGCTACACACTTGATTTTTATGTCTGATTGACACAAAGGAACCAAGATAATGACTTTTCAGTGTTCTTCAGCATATCATCTTTCATTCACTTGTCCTCTCCTCGAAGGATGAAATAGAGAAAGAAGTTCAGGACATGCAGTGTAGTTCCATTTAAAAACGCATGGCCTTGTTTTCTCCTGCCCCATGTTCCTGCTGCCCTAACATTTCTCAGAAGGCAGCTGTATGCACATTCCTGCAGGGAAGTCTTGGCTGAGCCACAGGAATGCTCTGAATAGACCAGCTCTCAAACTCCTCCCATTCTCAGGAGAAAACTAGTGCATTAGTTAAGCACAAACATCCCTATGCCAGGGACTATCTTCATATTTTGTGGTCTCAGATGGCAAAGCAGTCCAAATACATTGTCATTTTCCTTACCTCCTCTGCTATCACTTTTCCCATTGGTCTAGCATTATCTGACACAATTTGCTACCCTTGTCTAAACTGGCTCATTTGCTTTTGAGGGCAGTGAATGCCTAAGTATATATAAGGAAGCAGTTTGATTTTGAGGAATGTGTATAGGCGTGAAGTCAAGAATTCCATGTTCTAATTCTGACTCTGCCACCAATTCATTGTCTGCTCCCCAGTAACCCATTTTGCATATTTTTTCCTATTCTCCTTATAGAACCAAAAAAAGTAATTCCAATTAAATGTCTTAAGAGGTTCAGCTCCTGGATTATATAGAACCTTTTTGAATAAGCTCATTTTTATGTCATATCTTAGCACAAAAAGTAATTATCCTCTTTTTCCCCCATACAGTTTCTCTCAGCAAGTCTGTGATGATAAACATTAGTGAAATCCTTTTGGTGTGTTAAATGCTAAGCATTATGACTTATGTCAAACCTGACGTTAAGGTCCAGCAAATAAATCCAGAAAATATTTTCCTTTCAATGTATAATAGATTTAAGCCATAAAATTTCAGGCCATTTTCTATCTCAGATATGCATGCAGTGTTCTTTTTAGAATCAGTGCGAGTTCTATATGCACCCAAGGACTTGAGATCTTTGGATCCCTCCAAGCTGCTCTGAAGGGACTTTATTTTCACCTATTTCTATATAACATGCAGTACTACCACCTTTAAGTTCAAAATGTATCTCAAACTTTATGTTATTTTACAAATGTACAAAAGGAAAACAAGAAAAACAACAAAGAAAACAGCCCTCTCTTAAGTTCTTATTTTGGTGCCCTGTCATTAAATTGAAGCAGATACTATCAACGTGACTATTCCATCTGGTTCTAATGCATGGAGATGAAAGAAACTTTGGCTGTATTCTACAGCTTCCTTGGCTAGATCAGCTGAACAAGCAGAGAGAGAATTGTGTTGATTTACTGCTGGCCTACACAACCATGTGTTACTGCATGAGATCTACAGAATGAGAAGGGTCTGTCATATGGAACATCTCCATAGACAATGTCGAAGAGGGAAGTTTTATTTATTGTACCTTTCACAATACTAATGCCTAAATGAAACCTACAGGCAGTGCACAGTCTTTTACAAAAAAGAAGAACTGATCATTTACTCTAATCAAAGCTACTTTTATTTAGTGAATTCATCTTCCGGAGCACACGCTTCCCTGCTGAATAGGTGGGGGCTGTGAAGTCCAGCTCCCCACACCCCCAGTACTTACATTGATAATAGCATCTGTCTGAATGTAATCCATGTCCGAGTCCCGCAGGCCGAGTTCTTTGCCGTCCCGCTGAGCAGTGCTGACAATACCTGTTGTCACAGTGTTCTGGAGGGCAAACGGACTTCCAATCGCCACCACAAATTCTCCGGGCCTCAGATCAGCTGAGTGTCCCAGTAACAACACTGGCAGTTTTTTCTTAAATAAACAAACACAGAGAGAAAGAAACACGCACTAGTTTAAGCAGTAGTTTATATCCAAAAGGAACCTGACTGGAAAGATCAAGAACTAGCAAGCAGTTAGGAACACACGCTTTCCATTACATTAATGAAAGAGCCACTCACTATCATATACCCAAAAATTACACCAGTTAAAAGTTAGTACACTGCAGGGTGTTTCTGCTTTAAACTGTCTTCAGAAACAAAGTGCTAGCAGTAGGATCTTGCAATTATATCCAAAAAAAAAAAGCCAGCAAGATTCTGGAATAGATTTCCCCACTTTCCAGCAGATTTTTCCCTCGTCCTCCCAGAGGCAGAATACAAACCTGCTGTTGACCAGTGTGCCACTCTCCCTACACTATGTACCACAAGGCAGTCCAGGTACAAAGGTACAAGGATTAGGAAATTTTCAGGTAAATATAGCAGAATCCGGCTACATATTCACTGAGCCACATTTTTTTCCCTTCCTTTTTAGCAGTTCCTAGTACATAAGACAAAGTAATGTAATTCCAAGACAATAAAAATTTCCAGGCCTGTATTTCAGCACCTTTTTTTCCCCAGATATGTTTCCAAGGAATCCCTAAACAACTATTCCAACCAGTCGCTGTAGACTAAATGACACTGAAATAGGGTTCCAAATTAACTAATTCATCTGTTTACGCCGCTCACCTTGGGATGAATCTTTATTGTTGCAATGTCAGATTTCTTGTCAATGTCTTTGATGGTTGCTTCATAGGTATCTCCATTCTGTAGCTGCACTTTCAACTGTTGCCTCCCTGAAATAGCATTGGTGCTTGACACCACATGGGCATTGGTCACAATTAAACCAGAATCAGACATAATAAATCCAGATCCACTGGAAAGTGGGACATTTCGACCAAAGAGAGGGTGCCTGTACAAAAAAAAAAAAAAAAATCAAACTATTTTAAGTCATAAGAGAAGTATAACTTAAGAGACAATTGCATTAGAAATCATTTATCATCTTTCACCCTGAGAAATAACAAAACATATGACCAATGTTACAAGCCTTACAAAAACTAAATTTTAAAATATTAACAAATAAAGGGTCCTTTGCTGAGAATTGTGACTGCTTTTGGTCAGCCAGGGAGATAGGAACCGAGGTTTTCAGACAGTCTGTGATGTCCTATGGTTTTCAATTCTGTCTTCAGAGGCTTCCTTGCAAAGAGGCTAGGTGACAAAAAAGGAAGGAGCAGGAGCTCATGTCATCCCAACAGTTGCTGCTTTTCTGTACAGGAAGAAAATGATGACAGGAAATATCAGGGCTGACAAATGGACTGATCACCTAACGGGGAAGAGGGAAGAAGGCGCAACCTTGCAGCTGGACGGAAAAAAAAAAAAAAGAGGGGACGTCTCAGGGAATCAGGAAACCCAAATGTAGACTGGCAGGAAAAAGCATGTCTGGAAACTGAGAGGACTGGGATTGTGAAAGAAAAGAAATTAAAACACAATAACAATGGGTAAAACTTGGTGGGAAACAACACTTGCTGCAATATAGACCGCTAAAAGACTTTATAAACTGTTTAAAGTATTGTGACTTTTTTAATGAACAATTGCTGTAATGACCTTAGATTTGTTAGCAGAAGAGAAAGTGCCTAGGCAGTAGAAAATGAGAAAAGGCCCACAAATTCTTCTTTCTTCCAAGATGTGGCCCTTATTAGGAAATTGTTTGAAAGTTATGGGCTATTCAGCAGTAAAGAATTAGAGCCAATCCAGGCAGAAGGCAGTATCACAATTAGCGCCCAGCAGGCTGTTGGACAAAC